TTTGCAGACGCAGAACAGGAAAGTCCGAGCCGAAACTCTCTCTGAAGCGTAGAGGAAATCTCCCCGCCTCTGTCAGAGTGCAGACGCAGAATAGGAATGTCCGAGCCGAAAATCTCTTTGAGCTGGAGACGAGCATCGCGGATCCAGCCGATCAACACCTCAGTGACCTCACCCTTAATGCCCAAGGGGAAGACTGTGGTGTAACGCGAGTAGTCGTCAACCACCAGCAGGAAGTAACGCTCGTGACCCTGTCCATGGACGCGGGCTGGGCCCCACACGTTCATGTGAAGCGTCTGTAGCAGAGCCTCTGTCGGAGGAAACTCGAAGGAGTGAGGAGCAGCACGCTGCCTCCCCTTCACGCAGGGAACGCAGGTAGGGGCAGGCCCCGGAGGAAGAGGAGGGAGGGACCAGGGGAGACCAGAGACAAGGACACGGGAGACCATGCCTCGGAGACGAGGCAGCGAGGGGTGACCAAGGCGGTGGTGCCAGAGGAGAGTCTGGTGAGACAAGAGACGACACGAGCAGGGGGCAGACGCAGGACCAGACCTGGACGCCGTAGCAGACACCTGATCCGATGCAGCTACCTGACCAGACGCAGAGACCGGAGGAGACTCAGTAGTCAGTGTGTACAGGCTCGACCCCGCTCGACGGGTAAACGTGGCCAAGTGTCAGCCTGTCCGAGCACACGTACAGTGGGTCACTCGCTGACTCGCAGGAGTGAGCTAGTCAACCCCCCCATACTGTAGGTCAGCACCACTCACCAAGTTCGTAGAGAACTAGGGGAGGTAGAGACCTGACAGGGTGCCAGAGGGGGCCGCCGGACACGGTAAGACAGTGGAGAAGTGGGCAAGGACAGGACCCCCAGAGGGGTCTGCCAGGGAGACCGCAACTGGCCGAACTAAGCGATGTAAGTGTGGTGCGGTCTCGAAAGAAGGAGTGGGAAGCACCCGAGTCAAGGGTGAAGGTGTGGGAGGCCTGAGCCGACGTGGTACCTGAGAGAGCAGACTCACGAGCACCTGGGGCACCAGACTCTCTAGCACCTAGAGCAGCAGCCTCACCAGCACCTAGAGCAGCAGTCCCAATGCCCGGGTCAGGCGGAACACACAGGTAATAGTCACCCTCATCACTAGCAGACACAGCATACATTGCAGCAAGAATAGCATCATAATCAAGATCAAAGATAGCAACCCCCGACCGCTGCAGTTCTCCCCAGCGAGGGATCTCAGTGGCGTCAGGGAACTAGAGACGCCAGGCGTCCGTCAGGCAGCCGAAGCAGCGCAGGGTGGGGTGCGGGCCCCCGCACTGCTCACCCGTACGGTCGCCGGTACGCAGGACGTAGGTACAGGGACCAGCACCCCCACCCCGCTGACGCGAAGCGTACCACTCACGAAGCTGCTGGGGGGACGGGGTCTCACGAGTGCGCTTCTCCTGCTGGCGCTGACCACCACCGGAGCTGCCCCTCTGCGCAGAGCCGCCCCGACCAGTCCCACCGCTGCCGCCGCCACCTCCACCGCCGCCGCCACCTCCGCCTCCTCCGCTCCCACCACCACCGCCGCCGCCTCCTCCGCCTCCACTGCCGCCACTGACGCCCCCACCCCCGCCACCACTCCCACCACCACCCCCACCCCCTCCACTGCCTCCACCGCCACCTCCACCGCCCCTGCCAGCTCCTCCAGCACCTTTGCCCCCCTTGCCCTTGCCGGTGCGGCATCTCCCGCCAGGGGCAGACGCAGCTTCGATCGACTCGAGGCCAACGAGGTCGGCCGCAGCAGTAGAGGCAACAGAGGGCAGGAGGGGGGAGGGGGAACACCCCTCAAAGAAGGGAGTACGAGGGTCACCAGAAGAGGCTCCTACAACGACTATGCTCTTCTGAGCTGCCAGGAGGCGCTCCTCGAGGAGGTCAACGGTGAGTGTGGTGGGGCAAATAGAGAGGAAGTGGTCCGTGACCGAGCGAAGGGAGTCAGGGAGCCGGGTGACTATGTAGTAGAGGGTGATGTACATGGGGGGGGGGGTTCTTGGCGCAGATTTCAGCAGGGAGCGCAACGCGGTAGCGAGTGTCACTAGTGCGAAGGTGCGTAACTAGGTCAGCGACTGTGGAAAAGGCGGCGAGGTCAGGGAACAGGTACGGCGGCATGAGGCGACTAAGAGCAGCAGTGGCAGGGGAAGAGTAGCGTGCAACTACAGCGTCGTACAGGGTCTTAGCGCTCTTATACTGACCAAAGTGCGCGCGCTCAGAGGACGGCAAGTGACTACGAACAGCAAGACGGGCAGCAGCATCACGTGTGGCCCACTGTGAGCGAACAGTGCTGTCAGCATCGGCAAGAGGGGCAGGAGAGGCGCTTGACATGAGATCGAACAGGGAGAGACTATCTGTCCTATTGCACTATAGGAAAAGTTGTAGGTCATCGACCCAGACCTCAAAGTCGACAGCCCGACCCTCAGTATCAAAAGTGAGAACATTAGGAGCAGCCATGGCAGCAGTGGCAGCAGCAGGCTAGCAGTATGAGCAGGGCGGTGGAAGAGGCGCTGCTCAGGAGTGCTCTTACCAGGGCGGGTAGGTAGAGGCCCGCAGGTGGTGAGGCAGGGCCGAGGCGCGCCTGCAGGGACAGGGCCGCAACAGTGGCGGCGGCGGCGACAGCGGCGGTGGCGGCTGCGGCGGCTGTTGTCTCGGCTGTGGCGGCGGCGGCTGCGGCTTCGGGAGCGGCAGCGGCGGCGGCAACGGCGGCGGCGGTCGGCAGCAGAGGCGGCTGCAGTCGGCAGCGGCGGTGGCTGCAGCGGTAGAGGTGGCCGCTGCTGCTGCTGGGACCGGGGAGGGGCCGCGTAGGGCGGCGACGGGGCCGCGAAGGGGCCACGAGGGGCCGAGAAGAGCGGGGACGGGGCCGCAACGGGCGGCGACGGGGCCGCGAAGGGGCCACGAGGGGCCGAGAAGAGCGGGGACGGGGCCGCAACGGGCGGCGACGGGGCCGCGAAGGGCGGCGACGGGGCCGCAACGGGCAGCGACGGGGCCGCGAAGGGCAGCGACGGGGCCGCGAAGGGCGGCGACGGGGCCGCAACGGGCGGTGACGGGGCCGCGTAGGGCGGCAACGGGGCCACAACGGGCGGCGACGGAGCCGCTAGGGGCGGCGACGGGGCCGCGAAGGGCGGCGACGGGGCCGTAACGGGCGGCGACGGGGCCGCGAGGGCGGAAACGGAGCCGCGAGGGGCGGCGACGGGGCCGCTAGGGGCGCGACGGGGCCGCGAAGGGTGGCGACGGGGCCGCTAGGGGTGGCGACGGGGCCGCGAGGGGCGGCGACGGGCCGCTAAGGGCGGCGACGGGGCCTCTAGGGGTGGCGCGAGGGGCCGTGAGAGGGGCCTCTAGGAGGGCGCGACGGGCCGCTAAGGGCAGGGGACGCGACGAGAGGGCGGCCCACGGGGCGCGCCTCGGGCAGGGGCGACTCGCGCTCCGGTCAGAAAAAAAAAAAATCGATTTTCAGTGGTGGGCCGTAGGAAGCGTTCCCACTAGGAAACCTGCTCTATACCATCTGAAGAAATGAGGAATGAATGCACTAGCAAACATGTGGGTACAAGTAGGAAAACCTAAAAGTGTTGTACCTCATATTGTCTACCCTACTACAGCCTACACAGGCTATAGCATATAAGTTTGACATTTCAAACTCTCATCAACAAGGTCACCACATAGACTTCATTGTCTCCTCTCAGACTCAGCAGATCCTATCCTATCTACTTGATCCTTTGGTTATATCAGCACCTCCTGAGTCGCATGCGTTTCCAATTGGGTTTTATATTTTTTTACCCGTTTTTGTCTGGTGTGTTGCGATATGTATTGACCTTGTTCGCAGTAATTTTCGTGCGACTGGTGTGGTTGGACGACGAACTCGTGCGAGAGCTGCGCCAGTTACTGTAAAAGGGTATTCAAAGTACTGCACCAGTTTGACGTCGATGGACGTTGGTGAATTTCGACTGTCGGATCAAAACTTCCAACCGTCAGGATTCACCGACGGCCTTCGACGTCGAGTTTTTGCAGCACTTTGTACACGCCTTAATTCGTGGTGTAGCATCCCCTGACAGAACAGTAATTTTCGTGGCGGAGGTGTACATACAGTAACAACAGAGGCAGAAAAACGACGGGATAGCATGCACCTCAATAGCGCGCCTCGACTTAGTTGCATGCACCTGAAAATGGCCGAAAACGAATGGGTGGATGAACCAAATGGGAGTGGTGGGTCTTTTCGCCAACCTGACACTTCCACCACGGCCTTATCAACAGCCCGAACCTGGTATCTCTGAACGTGCCACGCCTCTCACCTGTTCCTATCCAGTAACATGCAATCGCGAGGGTGGGACTAACATTACCTAACCCTAATCTGCATTCACCAGTAGGTTCGCCGCTCATCTAGTTAGGACATATCTCAGCGCGGTATTCGATGTGATTGCACCACCAATTTCAGAATTGTAGAAGATGTCACTGACGTTATCGGTGTTACTTAGTGCTAATCCCTTCACCCGTCGAGTGCCGTGATCGCGGAGTCTGCTCTGATATTAGACAGAGCAGTAAGTTGCGCGCTCCAGATCTGACATTTACTTTACTTGCGGATTGCCCACGGAAATAGTAACGCTCGTCCGGACAAATGACTGGCGTCGATTGCGGACGCATCGGTAACGTAGCGCGTGCCGTCGATTAAACAGGGGGTTTCGTCGACTTGGAGCGCGTCGGCGCTAGCCTGGACGCAGACGATAAAATATAGGACGGCAGGTGAAAGCCTCTATTGGAAGGCAGAAGAGGGGAATGGACGGGTGAATGCCTCTATCTACGGAAAGGAGTGGCGAAAGGTAACAAGGAGTGGCAAAAGGTAGGACGGAGTGGCGAAAGGTAACACAGAGTGGCGACCATTTCTCCTTTGTTTTCCAATCCCCCCTCCTTCTCCTTATCGTCGCAATTTCTCTTTTCCGAGGCTGAGAGCAGAGCAGTAGTGCCCGCAGCTCCGCTTTGTCCACATCCTATGAAGGTGCGTAGCGAGTCAAGCATGTATGTTCCTTTTCGCTCCCTTTCCCCCTATACTTCACGCGTCTCTAGCTTCCCCGCTCTCCCGTCATTTTCACCGATCTCCCCTCATATTTTCCGCTCTCCCCTCATCTTTTCCGCTCTTCCCTCATCATCCCTGCTCTCCCCCCATCTTCCCCTCTCACTTCCCTGCGTCCCTTTTCTCCCCATCTTTCCCTCTCTCCCCATTTTCCCTTCTCTCCCCCCATCTTCCCCTCTCTCCCCATCTTCCCCTCCCCCCCTCTTCCCCTCTCTCCCCATCTTCCCCTCTCTCCCCCCATCTTCCCCTCTCTCCTTTCCTCCCCCCCCCCCCCCCCCCCCCTCCCCCCCGAGTCCCCCTTCATATCCCTGCCGCACTCTCTCTTCATCTTCTCCCCTTCTGCACCTACCCTCATCTCCGCTCCACTCACCCCTCGTTCCCCCTCTCCCCCTCCTCCCCTCTTCCCCTTTTCTGACTCGACCCTCATCTCCTCCCCTCACACATACCTCATCTTTCCCCTGCTCACGCCTCCTCTCCCTCCCCATCCACCCCTCATCTCCCTCCCCTCCCCTACCACCGGCCCCCCATCACCCCTCATCTCCCTCACCCCCCTTCCCCCCCCCGTCTCCTCCCCACAATCTATCCACCTTCCACCCTCCTTGGCCCTCCCCTCAACTTTCCCCCGCTCGTCCCTCGTCTGTCCCCATCCATTCACTCCTCATTTCCCTCCCCATGTGTGACTGGTCATGTGGTGATTGGGAGGCCATGTGGTGATTGGGAGGCACGGTGGCAGGGGATGAGCTTCTGAAGGCGTGTGGCCCAGGGCAAGAGGGGCTGCAGGGAGGCGAGGGGGAGACGGCAAGGAGGGCTGGAAGGCCAGCAGGACGGAGAGCGGCTGGTATGGGGGGCAGAGGGGTGAGCAGAGCGCCTTCACATATACACTCACAGCATCTGCCGCTCTTGTGTGTGGCATGACAATGCGATGGTGTGGCATTGCATCTGCAGAGCAAGGATGAAGGGTCCAGAATGGGAGCGTTGTGGTATGTGCGATTTCATGCACTCTTGAATCTGCCACACGGAGAGTTTGTTCTCGGCGATTCTTTTCATAGGCTCTGAGCGATATGCTGGTAGTTTAGTGGTAATCGGTGGCCGTTGTCACCTCCGGGGCGGCTGTAGGATTGACAGCGCAATTGAATTTTTGTTTCTGCTATCATCTGCTGCACTGCATATGATTAAAGTACATGTAAGCTACTACCATTCGTCTGGGGTTGTCTACACGTCCATATACTTGGTATGATACATATTATAATTCAGGCTGAAGTGTACTGTTCAGCAACATACCTGTAGGACAAGCTTGTCCTTGTTGCAGCTTCTCGATTGAGTGTCGCAGCGGCCTTTCACTCCACCTGCACACTCATCCAAACCGGCCCACCGTTTCCAGCATTCTGTTGTGTCGGTTTTTAGATTGGACAGCTGTTGAAGTCTTGCTGTTCCCCTGCCCTGGCCCCAGGGCTCATCGACAAAACGCCCAGCCCAAGGGCCACGGTCAACAAAAACAATACAGTGAACCGTTTTTGTTTTTTCGTAAGTTGAGCTTTCTGTTTCTCCCTCCCTCCACCTGCTTCCCACCGCACATTTCTTTCTGCTTGGTCCCTTTGATCCAGCCTGTCATTCCTCCCTTTTGCCGCGTTGTTCCGGTCGAATACCCGCTGCTTTTTGGACTCGAGCGGGAAACCCTCGCCTCAGTGAAGATGAGAAATCGAGAAAGATGACCGTGCAGTTTTTTTCTTCGCGGGTAGTCTGGTCGGACGAATTTGTTCCTCAATCGACACTCCCTTCGGGATGTTCCTGAATCATTGCCTAGCATTTCCTGGAGATCTTTACTTTCATGCACCCGTTTTGTTTAGTGCGGGTCCTGATTGTCAAGACAACGGCAACCAGGGCACGGCGACAAGGGTTCCCTCCGACCAGAGAACCCTGACAGTTGCACAGTGCACTAATACAGTACAGTACAGTGTTATGGGGCGCATCGCGTCGCTTCACTTTATTTGAACCCACAGTGGGCGCTTCGATCGCTTCGATCAGCAATTTGATTCTGCTGCACCATTTCGATTCTTCTTTGTCTTCTGGCTTGGCCTTTTGCAGGTGTGGAAAGGGGGTGGGATGTTTCTTGTCCAGGGGAGAGCAAGCTTGCTCAAGGGTTCCCTTCTCTCTTCCTCTCAACCTGTGTTTGGCAGGTTCGTGGTTTCGTTTCTCTCATGGTTGCAGGTGCAGATTAGGTTTCAGTTCGGACTCTGATGTTTCATATGTAGCTGTAGGTTACCAAGGCAAGTTGTTTGGTCACGCTGATAGCAGTGCGTTGTTAGAATAGCCATGACGCATCCTAGCCAGCCGTCGGTACGTTCTCCTCGATCTTCACGAACTTCGTTGCGGCGGACGATATCGCCCAACTCCCCCAGCCCTTACCCAACTCAGCCAGAAGCTGCACGCCCCCTTCGTAAATTCAGCGCGGAAAAGCAGCACAATAATATTCAAGCAGTCAGCTGTGACATGGCGCGAGGAAATTGGTCGGCGTGCGATGACGTAGCACAGGGCGAGGCGACGTCGCCTGTCGTCGTAGGAGCCAGCACGGTGTCGCAAGCGGCGCGCGAATGGCGTCGGCGTGCGACGGCTCGACAAGACGGTTCCAAGCAGAGCCGCAGCCCCAGAGGCGACGCAGAAAAGAATCGATTTCCTAAAGGCGGCAGACCGGGGTTACAGAAATCAACAGGGGACCGCGGCAGCAATAGTAGCATCTGTAGCAGCTCCAGTAGCGGTAGCGATCGTCACCGGATGATTCGCACGAGTAGTTCCTCCAGCACCAGTAGCGTCACGAGCAGCGTGAGCAGGAGCAGTAGCATCGTCAGCAACGGGAGCATGAGCATGAGCATGAGCTTGTCGTTATTGGAAGAGGAGGAAGAGCAGTGCGAGTGTGATTCTATCGGGAGCGGATTACCGGGAACATCTGGTTATCGGTTGAAGTTCACGAGCGCACATGGCGCGGAGGTGTCGCCATGGCACCAGCTGCCTCTCCCAGCATCCGTCCCCGTTCCCCCACCTCCCTCTCCGTCCGCCAGCGATCTCGATGCGCCATGCTTTGCGCAACGGCCTGGCCGCGTTTCGCCGTCGTCCATATCACACTGTGGGTCGGGCAGGGAGCACGCAAATTTCGCGGAGCTCCTTGCGCCGTCGCCGCGTCGATCCGCGTGCCCCGCGCCGCTTCGCTTCGTCTGTCAGACGCCCCGCGGCTCCGTCGTCGCCTTCGACGTCGCCGTGGACGAGCCTGCCACGCCCCTCCGCTTGCGACGCGCCCCGACCGCCGCTGCCGCCGCTCCCAGAAGCACGGGTACCTCCCGTTCCGCCGGCAGCCGATCCCCCAGTTCCTCCCCTCCGCGCCTTGCGCGCCCTCTAGCCCTCGCCGCGCCCTGCAGTTGCGGGTTCCTCCCGCAGACGTGCGCGCTGGAGCTTCCGCGCGCGCTGCTGTCCGTGGAGAGGGGAGGGTTGGCAGAGAAGGTGGATGGCGCGGAGGCAGGAGCGATGCCGATGATGGCGGTGGAAATAGGGTTGAGTGAGACGTGGACGGGGGATGTGCGACGCGTCATTCCCCTCGCCGCCATGACGGTATGCGTTCCGGGATCTCGGGGCAACGGCAACGCCACCGAGGTCGCCGGCGAGATCGCCGTCGCTTCTGACGCCGCGTTGTCCGGGGAATCGGAGGCGCATGAAAACCGCGGCATGGTCGCGAGTCGCGATAGTACTGACGGGACCTACGGCCGCATGATGTGGGTGGTTGTGACAATAGCGACGGACGATCCTGAAGCGGGGGACGTGTGGCGGTTCATGCGGAAAGCGAGCGAGGCGACGATCGAGGGGATTGTGTCGGGTGTGCGGCGGTGGTTGGAAGACGTGTACCTGCAGACGCACATGCCACCGCAAGGTACGCCACGGGAATCGTTTGTGTCCTGGCATGCAACCATCCAAATGGCCTCAGCTGCTTGCAAAGTGGTTTCTTGTTTTTCTTTTTTTGCCTTTTGGACTTCTTCCTTTTGAAATTGCTTCATCGAGTTGAGTCGTCTGTTCTCATTCTCTTCCTGTGCCCCTTCCACCATCCTTTATATTTATACATCAGGTGCTGACACAGCCTCCTTCCAGCCATCAACCGGGATCATACTGCCAGTGAAGCTCACCTCTCGACTGCTCATGAAAGCGCACGAAGCGTGGAAGAAAGCGCTGCCGTCCCTCCTCCTGTACCAACCGGAGCCACTACAGCAGCAGCGCCAGCAGCAGTTGCCACCACTGGAGCTGCAGCGTTCTGCATGCATCCCTAGCTCCAAGCAGCAGCACCAGTCTAAGCCCATACCTGCAGTTCCCGTGGCGGGTGCCCCACCGAAACAGCAGCAGGCATATTTTACTCGCCCACCCAGAAGTTCTCCCTCCGCTGCTTCTCCCAAGCCTCCCAGGCATCGTGGTCACGTGTCACCACCAGGCAAGGGGTCTCCCAAGCAGAACACGCCTGCCAGAAGGCAAGAGAGCCTACCGAGTCTGTTCTTGTTCGAACCGGATAATGTTGTTCCGGCGGATCGTCCTTTTGGATTGTGCTTGTCGGAAGATGCATTGGTGCCTTCTGCTGGGAGCCATGGAGGTCAGGATGAGGGTGGTGTTGATCTGTTTCAGTCAGCGCTGTCAGTGTCTCCTGGGTTGCACAGCAGGCGGAGCAGCAGCAGTGGCAGCAGCGCGTTTGGGAGCTTTGATGGGGAGGAGTGTCTGTCCAGTGCAGGCAGCTTGGATCTCGACGGAGGGATTGCCGATGTTCTGAAATGGAGACATGCATCGAAGAAAAGGCTCAGTCCAAGACGGTCACGGCATGGTGAAGGGGCTGTGCGCACCGGTGTGGAGGGAGGGCAGCAACACCATTCGAACAGTAACTCAGCGTGTGGTCTTCCGGAAAACTTGCTAGAAGCTGAGCCAATTCTATTCCTCCGTGAGACTTCAATGTCCCGCAGTAGCTCAAACGCTCGCAGGCGAACTGTGCGGTTTGATGAGGTGGTGGAGGTGCATGTGTTTGACAGCTTTGAAGAGGGTGAGCTCGATGGTGCTAGCTGGTGCGATGCTCCAGATGTGGGGGAAGAGGAAGATTACGACGATGAGGAAGAGGATGCACTTGATGCTCATGACGTGGAGTTGAAGTCGTTAGAACCGATTCGACGTTCTAATCAAAGGGATAAGTATGGCATGGCCTAGTTTTATGGTAGGTCCGCCGTCATAATAAGTATGATAATACCGTGTGCTTGACATAAATTTGACACTCCTAACTTCTATACAAGTACTTTCTGACCGGGTGTTACGAGTGCAATTGAGTGAACGAACGAGAATTGCACTATCGAAGCAAAAGTACAATGAGCGAAGGCATGAGCGAAGGATTATATAGCGAAACAATAGTGGTAACGGTAATGGACTGTGGTTGTCGCGCGTCGAGCCTGGGACTGAGGTTGGGAAAGTGTCGAAGCGTAGGCCCGGAGCGCGGGTTACCAGCCGAGCCGTGAGGTCGGGATGCGATGTGCGAAAAGGGCGGGATGATGAATGATGCGATGGTCGCGAGTGGTAACGGTGCTGACTGAGGTGCTACAGTGATGTACGCGCTGAGCAGGGACGCGAAGTAAGGAAAAGGGAATTTCCTTACACCGGGCAAGACTAGTGTGTATCAGTACTTTTACGAAACTGTTATATCATATCCGTTCCATTCTGCCAAGTTGCACTTCCATTGTTGTGAGCATGCGCACATTCATTGCCCCCTCAACCGCCAAAAATCGAGCGGAAATGCTCGTGGCAATTCAAGGTCCAGCTGCAAGTGCCCTCTGCGCGAGATATTTGCCCACTGGCTGGCCAAGGAGCCTGCAGCAAGCGCAAATCCCCCATCTGCCTTGCAAAGCCCGTTCGTGGCGGGTCACCCGCACCCATCGTTCCTAGCCCAGCGCGCCTTCTCCTCCGCAACCCATGTCAGATTCCTTCCCCTCTCCCCGCCCCGACCGCTAGACCTCACTGTGGGTTTTCACATGCGCATGTTCCCTGCTTTCCCCTCAGGGGCCGAAACACCGTCCCTTCAACCTCCCCCTCCCCTTGTCCCCCTTCACCCCTCACTTCTCCCTCCCCCTTTTCCTCCCCTCGCCTTCCCCCCTCCCCCTATCCCCATTCTGCCCCGCGCGCGCCAATTCTCAACAAACAATTTCATTTTCCCAAGCCACCGACCCACCACGCCTGCTAAGCTGATCCTGTTAGCTGGGGTGCATTATTTGGTCTGCTAGGGTTACATGGGCAACTAGCTGACTACCGCTTATCCTAGGTATCTAGGGTATTGAGCGTCCCGTGCGTCCAGCGACTGCAGGAGGTATCAAGCGTTGTTTCCGTACGCTCTGTGCTGCATTTTTTCCGGTAATCGGAGATTGACATCGCACTTGCGCCGAGGATAGGAACGGACACACGTGTTTCGAGTTGTGGGGTGCTTCGGGATGCAGGTCCCGGAGAAGCTAGGAAATATGAGTCTAATAAAGAATCACGCTCTGAGGCGCAGATCCTGAGTTCAAGACAAGTGCAGCTACAGTAGAACGGTCAGTCTGGGGTTGGAGGTTGTTCTGGTTTCCTTGTCGCTGCCGTTGCCAGTTTTTGGGTCTCTGTATCGTTCTGTGTGTCTCCCTCTCTCATTCTCTCTCTCTCTCTCTCTCTCTCTCTCTCTCTCTCTCTCTCTCTCTCTCTCTCTCTCTCTCTCTCTCTCTCTCTCTCTCTCTCTCTCTCTCGTTCTCTCTCTACTCGGTTTCTTCTATGCCGAAATGCTCTCTTGCGTTTCCTGTACAAGAGATACGTTAGGCTAGCTGCTGATCGTTGCCTCGATCCGCTCTTGCGTTCTAAGCCACCTAGTCTTCACGCGAGCGCATTGTCAGCAACATTGTCTGAGGGTGCAGTTGTGCCGCGATGTTCTTAGACGTATGCGTCATGGCTGTTCTTCCCGTACCACTCCATGGACCTCCTTCCTTCACTTGCCCTCTTTGACTAACGCTGCGTTTCACTTCCGTCCAAGTCTCATCCCCCACCCTCCTCCGTCGTTCTCTCCCGGTCCCCCCGTCCTTCGTCCGTCATCAGCTTACTTTCATTAAACGACAGCTGACCGCGCGAGCAGCAGTGCGCGGATGCGGAGCCAGCGGAGTACCCTTAGCCTTTGCTGAACATCCCATCCGTCGGCGTGCTGCGGTCGAAACTCTTCCGTGTCTCCGCAGTGCGCGGATGTTGAAGCAGCGGACGCGCGGACGGCGATGGAGATAGGGGCGCCCTTCGACGTGAAGCACGTGGTCCACGTCACCTTCGACCGTTACAAGGGCTTCATCGGCCTACCAGATGAACTTCTCGCCCATGTCGACGCCGTTCCGCCTAGCGCCAGGTGCGTTGCTTCTCTCGCTCACTACGGCTCTTCGTTCGTGGTGTCGGTTTTTGAGTTGACTCACACATAGGCTCATCACCAGCGTCTCTTCGTTCTTTGTTGTCGCCAGTCTCCTTGCTCGCCTTTGTCACGACTCAGCTCTTTCGGCCCTTTCCCGTCCATACATTTGCGTCGAGTTCTCTTCTTTCTACTTGTCTGATTTGTTTTGTTTCTTTTGTTCTTCTGGACACGCTGAAGCGCAGACCGGACACATGTTAGGCGATATTCTGGACGTTTTTAGGCGCATAGAGGCAGTGGCTTGCAAAGCTGTTACGACAGGGTTTTTGTGCCTCGAAATGCTCCCTCATGGTCCGAACCGCTTTCCCCCACTCCTCCCCCCTCCCCCTCCCTTCTCCCCCCGGCCCCCTTCCTCCCCGTTACCGACTATTTTTGTCCCACAAACCCGTTTTTTATTTTATCTACACGTGCCGCGTTCAACGGTGCAGTTTGTCGGTGTTCGGCGTGCGGCCCGTGGCGATGCACTACTCGGTGGACGCGCACGGCACGAGCGTGCCGTCCATTCTGCTGCTGCTGCAGTCGCGACTCTACCAGCTCCACGGCCTCTCTGTAATCCCCACACGCCCTCACGCGCGCACGCGCGCGCACGCGCACACAAAAACTCTGCGTTCGCGTCTCCGCGCCACTCGCATATTCGACGTGCATTTGCCCTCTTCTGGAACTGTCTCTTCTTCCCTCCCCCTCTCCCCCCCCCCCCCGCCCCCGCCTGGTCGTTCGCCCACGTCTCCGCTCCCCCCGTTCCACTTCCCGCTCACCCTCCCGCTCACTCTTCCCTTCCCCCCCTTCTCCCCCCTTTCCCCTTCCCCCCGCGCGCGCGCGTAGGTGGAGGGAATTTTCCGCATTGCGGCGCAGATGGAGGACGAGGACGGCGTGCGGTCGCAGCTGAGCTCGGGCGTGCTTCCGCCCAACCTCGACGTTCACAGCCTCGCCGGACTCATCAAGGTGTGCGGGGGAGAGTGGAAGAGGGGGGGGGGGGGATGTAGAGAGGGAAGGACGGGGGAGGTGGGCCGGGTTTGGCTCGTGCACCTGCGAATGCTGGTGGACACGCCGGCTCACAGGCGCATTATCGCACTGACGCAAAGTTGCAGAGTGCACAGCTACTCTTGATTTCGTGCGGATTCCGCAGTGCTCAGTCTCCTAGACGCATGTGGAGATGTTACATATGGTTGCGCATGGTCACTGCTGTGTAGCATGGCGGCTACATTCTCCCTGACTTCCCCCACCATGCGCCATGCACCACCCCCCCGCATCCGTCTGCACCACTCTGCGCAGGCGTGGTTCCGCGAGCTACCAGAGGGGCTATTAGATCTGTTCACGCCGAACCAGGTGGCGGGGGCGACGGAGGAGGCGGCGGCGACCGCGCTGGCGGAGACGCTACCGGCCATCCACCGCGAGTTGTTAGACTGGGTGATTAATCTCATGGCGGACGTGGTGGAGCACGAGGCGGAGAACAAGATGAACGCGCGGAATATCGCGCTCGTCTTTGCGCCCAACATGACCCAGGTGAGGGGATGATGGCTGTGTGTGTGTGTGCGTGCGTGGGGCTTAGGGAGGAATGAATGCGCGCGCGCGGGCGCTTTCGCGCGACGTGAGGCAGAGATGTCGCTGAGATGCGCTGCTTTTGTGTATGGTGAACAGCGGGATTGCAGGTGCTCTAGTGAGGACAATTTGGGCAGGGAAAATTTTTGTAATTATTTTTTCTGATACTACTTCTTTCCTCTCTTTTTCCCCCTGTCATATTCTTCGCACACACCCCCGCCACCACTCACCTTGCTTTCACGGCACTTGTCCTCGTCCTTGCGTGTTGCGTGGCGTGGCGTGGCGTGCAGGTGATCGACCCCATGATAGGGCTACAGCACGCTGTGCGGGTAATGGAGTTCCTGAGAGCGCTGGTGGAGAAGCGGAGGAACGAGCGGGCGGCCATGGGCGGGTCTTTGCCAGAGCTCACACGAGCAGGCGCGGACTCGACAGGGGCGGAGGGGGCAGGGGGTCAGGGCGGGTGAAGAATCGGTGCTGTTTAGAGGCAGGAAGATAAGATGTATTCGGATCATGTGGGTTGGGAATGCGGTGGACGGAGGAGTATGTATTGCTGGAGGAGCGGATGGGGTAGGCTTGAGAAGGGGCAGGGGACAGGCAGTGGTTTGGAAGAGCTTCACCATGGGGGGATGAGGGCAAAGGGCGAGGGAGGCCCATTAGGAGGAGAAAGTGCTGGGAGAAAGGGACAGAAGGAGTTGGTGTTTGATGCGTATAAGGTGGTGTTTGTGCAAGGATATAGGAGCCAGTGCTTTCAGCAGCAGCAGTTGACAGTTGTAACAGTGTAGCTATAGGTGTATGGACAGTGGAGCAGGGCAGGGCAGCGACCTGGGGGCTCTGGATGGAAGATTTGATCTGACTATTGCTTCATTGCTGCAGCGGACAGCAGGGAAAAAGTCTGCCTGCTGCATCTTCTTGGGGTGCTTAGTGACTGCTATCACCTGCCGCTATTGCTGCTCCTGCTCCTGCTCCTGCTTCTGCTCATGTGCCTGCTCCTGCTGCTCAAGGGCTGTGCTGTCTGCTTTACCCAGTCTTTAGCAAACAGGCAAGGTTACAAACGGCTTGGGAACAGCATTGCAACAATAGATCTACGGTATTGGACGTGAGTGACAGGTGCCGTGGGATTTCCAGCCCGGACCAGAAGCTCGATGAGTCAGGACACATGACCTCGCTTCATGCTTGAGAAGGCTATTTGTTTTTTAATTGTTTCGTAGGAACAGCATTAGTCTAGAAACGCATTAGAAGCTGGGGAAATTGGGACTGATTGAGGGTAAAGAGATCTTAGAGGGAAATCTCCTGCTTCTGCAAAGCAGATGGAATTGGTTTGTCGTAGCAGCATGCCAAGCGTAGGATGCTGCTTGCATTGCACTCTTCAGTGATGGTTGGATTCCTCTGCAGTCTTTATCAAACCCAACCCTACCCAGGGTAGATATACCGGAAGGAAATTACATGGTTGTGGTTCTCAATCACATACGGTACATGCTAAACCCTAGGTAGGGAGAATGCCATACCGTCATCGCCCGGATATAAGACTGTCGAATTGAAGCCGGGGTGTCGTTAAAACGGGTGTCTTATAAATGGGTGTTCCTGATTATAAGACAACTGCCAGTGTGTACGAGTTAAGCTAGTGTAGGGGTTAGGGGTACCGGTAATCTTATGACGAGGGGGTGCCTTCTACCGTAAATGGTTCTTTGTCCATTTATAAGAATTGTAAGACACCCTAAACCACCCCAACTACAAGGCAACCCAAGCATTAAAGCCCGCATGCAGAATAGTGACCCCCCCCTTCTAGTTGGGTCCACTTGATATACTGATTCAGAGGTTTTGTTTGTAGGGTGTAATGTGTTGCAGTTTTTCTTTTTTTCCAGATACTGAACCATCTTTTCGATTTTGATCGAGGAATCCGGTCGCAGGGTTGGGCAAATGTGTCGTAAGAGGTGCCAAAATCACGTTCGTGGCACATTCACATTCGTGCCACATTCACATTCGTTCCACATTCAAATTCTCAGTTCTACGTCGTGGGAATTCCACATGCAGAGACAAACACTTGCATCGGTAGCGCCTGAGCCTTCAGCAAAAAGCGAGAGCTGTAGGAATGGGTTCGGGGGTGTGAATTATGCAGAGAAAAACAAACAGGAGAAGGTGATAAACAAAGTGAGTCAAGGAGTCGGAAGAGGAGAGTGAGAGGCCGACGGAAACACGGACGCGAGGGGAGAGGGAGAGAACAAGGGGCCAAAGGTTACTGGTTGGGTGATGGGAGGGGCATTGGGGAGGGGAGGGCACGAGGGCGATGGTACGGGACGGGAGGTGCGAGCGCGAAGGCGACGGGACGGGACGGGAGAACACGAGGGCAACAGGAAGGGACGGGAGGTGCGAGCGAGAAGGCGATGAGAGACGAGAACGTGAGCACGAGGGAGATGGGAGGGGAGACCATGAGCGCGAAGGTGGTGCGAAGATGGGAGAACGTGAGCGGGATGGCGGGGGAAGGGGAGAACGTGAGCGCGATGGCGGGGGAAGGGGAGAACGTGAGCGCGATGGCGGGGGAAGGGGAGAACGTGAGCGCGATGGCGGGGGAAGGGGAGAACGTGAGCGCTTATGCGATCAGAAGTTGATCGTAACCCAGGATCTACTCTGGTAGGTTCGCACGCAGTGGGTAGTGTTGGTGGGCCCTTGATCTCAATAGCAGAGTGAATGTAAGATGCTTGAGATGATAAAAACATGCAAATACAGCGATATAAATATGAGTACGAGGGAATTCGAAACGACCTAACTAGCCATGTACTCTAAGTGGTACATTCCCTTATTCAAATGCATCCCAACCGTTCGGCGCGTACAGTTTCGTAACTGTTCCCGCCAAAACCATCCTGCCTGTAGTTGTCCGATGCCGTTTGTTTCCGACGGTTCAGATGTGCTGTAACCGTCCGACCCTTTGACTCAATTCCAACCGTCTGACGCTTGCGTTCGTTCCCGATATTGTGCGTACCTTGTTACGGTGAGGAGTGCTTAGTAATATCGAATATTACTATTCGTAACACCCCCCTTCACTCCTGGACGTAGCTTAGCTTGACCTGCCTGACCACGCCGCTGAGTTCGAAGCAGTGCTGATACTGCTGGCGTGGCAGTCGCTTCGTGAGGAAGTCTGCTGCCATGTCACCTGTTGGGCAGTAGGTCAAGTTGACCTTGCCTTTGTCTATTTCGTCCTTCACGAAGAAGTACCGCAGCGCAATGTGCTTGGTGCGGTTAACGAAGCCAGGTTTGTTCGCGATGCGAATCGCGCTCTGGTTGTCGCAGTGAAGACGAAATGTCGGCGAAGCTGGGATTTTCGCCTCTTGCAGGAGTTCCTGCAGATAGAGGCCTTCGCGAACTGCTGCGGTTGCTGCGATGAATTCCGCTTCCGCTGATGACAAGGCAACCAACTCCTGCTTCTGAGAGTTCTGTGCAAAGAAGGAACGTGAATGAATGAACTATGAGTGAATTGAGTACAAGTACTAACCCTAATTGGGTTGTACCCCCTATGGGATACCCCACTATAGCCTACACAAATAAGTAAGCTATATGTTCTGACACACCCCCATAGGCAAAGTGGGGGAGAACAAGGGGTCACAAGACCAGTCAAGCAAAGCAAAGCAAAGCTCAGGGTGGATCACAAAGTCACCACACATTCTGAGCACAAGTTCAAGGGCCACAAGGCCAGTTCACATGCAAGATCATATATAGAGATATACAAGAGTCAAGCAAGCAAGAGCAAGAGTATATATAGGTAAAGGTACAAGCAAGGTCAAGAAGTGAGCAAGTGAGGCAAGACAGGCACAAGACCCAGCTGCGTGCAACAACGCTGATGATCACAAGGCGCAAGTGGCTTGGTGAAGACATCAGCAGTGTTGGCCTCAGAGGCCACGTACGCAAGTCGCAACTGTCCACGCTGCTGTAGCTCACGAGCAAGAAAGTAGCGGAGAGCAATGTGCTTTGTCCTGTGCTCCAGTCGCTGCTCTCGACACAAGGCCAGCATGGCCTTGTTGTCTACGTACAGGACTGGAGGAGAACGAGGCGGCTCTCCAAGGTCGGTCAGCAGGTAGGTGAGCCAGCGTAACTCCTGTGCAGCCATGGCCCCGGCGTAAATCTCAGCCTCACAACTGGAGCCGAGAACAGAAGACGAGCGGGTAGCCCGCCACGAAACAGAGCCGGAACCAAGGCTGAAGGTGTAACCCTGTGACGACCGCTGCGTAGCCTGGTCGTCAGCCCAAGAAGCGTCCGCGTGCCCAGTGAGGACCACTGGACTGCGCCCTCCAAGCACTAGCCCCATGCCCGACGTACTGCACAAGTAGCGCAACACCCTCTTCGCTGCAGCCATGTGCTCTGGTCGGTGTCTCCCAGGAGCAACATAGCGTGCGAGAATGCTAAGAGGGTATGCAAGGTCAGGTCGTGTGCAGGTCATCAGGTACATGAGGCAGCCAACAAGCTCTGCATACGGGCCACTCGACTCTACGGACTCATCCGAAGGCAGAGCTGAGAGCGAGTGGCGAGTAGGCAGAGGAGTGGCCTGAGGCGAGGAGTACGTGAAGCCGAAGCGCTGAAGGACCTGCTGCACCATGTGTGACTGAGTCAGGGTAATGGTGCGGCGTGCTCTGTCCCGGGTGATCTGCAAGCCAAGGTAGCTGCGCAGTTCACCCAGGTCAGTGCACGTGTGTCTCTTCTGCAGCTCGGACTTCACGTAGGCGAGTCCAGCAGTGTCAGCTGTGGCAAAGACCAAGTCGTCGACGTACACGAGGATGTAGAACGGCGGCAGAGAGGTGTCGGTGCGCAGAAACAGCGACGGGTCGGCAGTAGAAGGAGCAAACCCAAGTGCCGCCAGCGTAGTCCTCAGTGTGTCGTGCCACTCGCGTGGCGCCTGGCGGAGACCGTAGACTGGACGCCGGAGACTCCACTGGGTACCAGGAGGGAAAGACCCAGTGAAGCCAGGTGGGCGACGCAGCCAGATCTCCTCGTGCAGGCTGCCCTGCAAGAAAGCTGTGCTGAAGTCGAGAGAGTGCAGCTCGTAGTCACGGTGAGCAGCAACGTGCAGCAGTACCCGAAGAGTGGTCATCTTCGGGGTGGGGGAGAAGGTATGATAGTAGTCAACTCCCTACCGCTGACTGAAGCCATGAGCCACGTAACGCGCCTTGAAGACAGGCGGAGAACCCGGCGGCCGCTTCACCCTGAAAATCCACATGCCACTGACGATGTTCGCCCCAGGAGGGGGAACAGCGTCAACGTAGGTGCCTGTGGACTTCCAGGAAGCCATCTCTGCATCCATAGCTGCCTGCCACTGAGAGGAGTAGGGACCCTCTATCGCCTCCGCGTAAGAGCGCGGAGTCGGGATGTCAAGTGCATCCGGGTCTCCCTCAGGGGCTAGCAGTACAGACGCGAGATGAGGTGAAGCGGCGGCCAGACACTGGAACTCCTCCTGCCTGTCCTCAAGGACGTCCGTGCC